CAGCTTTTTTTTTCTGGAAATTGATGCAATGGTTACAAAAATTTTGTGGAGAAGCAAAGGGTTAAGAATAGTCAAGATAATGTGAAAGTAACAAAACTGAGGACTTACTTTATCAGATAGTCAATCATATTATAAAGCTACATTATCTAAGATCATGTGGCATCTGTGTAAAGATAGATAAGGGAAGAGAACAGAGTTCAAATCAAAGCAGACACTATCCTTTGATTTTTGAAAAGGAGACACTGCAGCAGAGAGAGAGTTCTTTTTAATATATACTTCTCCATCAACTGGATATCTATATGGGATATCCATATACGCAAAAGATATATTTACTTTTACTTCACAAAATCCACAAAATGACTTCCAGGACTGCAGATCTAACTAAAGAGTAAAACAATGAAGATTTTAGGAATAAAATGTAAGAGAAGATGTTTGTTGTCTGGGGTAGGAAAGAAATTATCAAGACCAAAAAAGTATGCATTGCTAAAAACTGTCACAGCATCACTTTGCTTGTGAGATTGTAAACCGGTACAATTACGTTGGAAAATATTTGGCAGTATCAGCTAACTTAAATATATGCATATTCCATGATGTAGGAATTCCACTTCTAGCAAGCAGAAAAATAAACACATACACACACACCTAAACATATACACAAGATTTGGCCCATATGATGTAGTTTGCCCACCGCTGCTCTACAGTAACAAAATAAGTGAATGACTGCTATGCTATAAACAGCAATATAGTTTAATCTCACAAACACAATGTTGAGCAAAACAAGTGAGACACCAAAGAATACATATAATATGATGTCATTTATATGAACAAAAGGAAAAGTAGTCAATGGTGATAGAAGTTAGAAAGGTGCATTTGAGAGAGAAGGGTAGTGGCTGAAATGAAGCAGAAAAGGTTTGCTGTTTGTCCCAGCCTACTGATGGTAATGTTCTTGGCTACAAATGCCTGAGGCACCGGCACAGGCTCTGTATTACTCATATGCGTCCCTACAGACATTCCCCCAGCGCCACTGGAGCCAGTGCTGTGGCTGGGCCAGCCCTGTGGGTCTCATTATGATAGAGGACACACTTCAGCAAAAAACCATCGGGTAACTTTGAGGAACAAGATTTGGTACTCACAGTTCTGGGGCATACACAGCATGCCCAGGGGTTACACGGTGAAGTCAAAGGTAGAGAGAGCCTTTATGAAAGTCCAAAGGGCTCTGGAGTGTCACATGGGTTCACTCATTATTGGCTCCGTTGAAATGTCAAGAGTGGAAATTAGAGCATAGGGCATGGAGGCAGGGTTATTCAAGCAGTCAGTTATCTGGGTCACCCAGGGTTTCTGAAAAGGTGACTTTATGGGTGTGGGTGGCCGAGTTCCTTACCTGGTTGTTTTACTAGAAGCTGTGTCATATAGCTGGCATTATATTTACCCAAAGTGTATGTCTTTTTAAATGGATGCCTTGAAAATCAAAAGCTTACTGTTAAGCACTTACACAAGAGTTCAGTATGAGTCATGGTTTAATCTGAAAAACTGCATCACTATGATTTTAGATAAAGGAATGTTAAAACAGGAACTAGTCCTTACACAAATACGAAAGGAGAAATCAATCTGTAGGAATTCTGAGAACCCAGGCGCATCCAGCTACTGAGGTGGAACTGTTAACAAGGAACATGGTTAGGAACAGTGAATTCTGAGAATGTGAGCCCAACTGCTACACTTCAGTTTTTGTAAAACGACTTCCCTGGTCGCAAGCAATGATGGATCGAACACCAGGACAGAGAACAAAGCATCCTGTAAGGGCCACAGATGGGGCTTTCAGCATAAGCCCTGGAGCGGGAAAGGCAATTTGATGTCTAGAGCGACTGTTACTTTTCAAGTGAAAACAAAGTGCTGTCCCTTCTGGGAAGGAAAGGCTCTTGTGTCATCACGTGGGCTTGGTGGTTGTCTTTGGAGAATAGTACCAAATTTTCCCTCCTCATTTAACTGATCACAGAGGACTCATGAGGCCACAGGGGTCACTTTTGTAGGAACTGGAGCTACAGGAATCTGAGTCACTTGCTCATGCAACTCTCCTGACTTCTGTTCAAACCATCTCGTATGTATCACTTCCACCTGATGAGGTGCTTCTGGTATGCCCAATTTATGACTTCATTGCATGGAAACTCTCCAGCTCATGGCCAAGTATTTAGTTTTGACTATGGGCCAATGAAACCAGAAACTCCTTTCTCAGAAGAAATAATGCCATCTGCAAAGAATGACCTAATTGTGCCTCTCAACTCTAAAATATATTGTGAGCTACATGCAGCATCCCTGTTAGATACTTCATACATCATTGGATATGTATCAGGGGTTATATGAAAGAGGTCTGTAAAGGTCCCAATAGGACATATTTTAGGCTTAGCAGACCACACAATCTGTCACAACTACAAAATCCTGCCATTTTAGCATGAAAGTACCCATAGCAATATATAAAGAATTGTCATGGCCATGTTTCAATAAAATTTATTTCCAAAAACAAGTGGTTGCCAGATTTGACCCATAGAACAGAGTTTTCCAATCCCTGGACCTAACTGTGAAAGATTAGAAAACAGATGTAGCCCTGAGCTGGGGCCATAAAGTATACTGAAAGCCCAACAAGGGGAAACTAAACTTCTTTGGATATTTATTAATAGGTTCAGAGAAAAAAAGCACATCAGCTAAATGGTTGCACATCAGGTGCCAGCAGATGTGATTTGTTCCAGTAATAAAACCACATCTGGAGCTCCAATTGGCATCAACTTCTAATTAAGTTTACAGTGATCCCATGTCACATCCAAGATTCCTCTCTTCTGAACAGGTCAAATGAGTGAATTGAGGGTATCTGATAGAAATCATGACCCCTGAAACTTTCAAGATACTGGTAGAAGCACTAATCTCTGCAATCCCTTCAGGAATATGGTATTGCTTTTGGTTTTCTATTTTGGTACAGACAAGGCAGTTATAGTGTTTACTTATCCTTTCTTATCAATAACTCTTGTTCCATGGATCAGGAAACCAATGTAAGGATTCTGCCAATCACTGTATTATTTCTATTGCAACTCTGCATTCTGGACCTTGGGAAATAACCATAGGATGGGTTCAGGAATTCCTTCAGACTACCACATATGGACCTCGCAAAAACATCCATTAATTAATTTATCCTTTAGAAGCCCCTCTACTAACTGGTAGACCACACTGCCATTTGGGGGTACCAGGAATTCATGTCAGCTCTTGATTCCAGTAATCCCTCCATTATCTGGTTATTTCAACTTACCTAATGCAGAACCTCGAAAAAATATGGCTGCAAGTCACTTTGAGGAAGAACAGATTGATTTTTATGGCATAGTTTTTGCAATATATCAGGGTCCTTCCTCACGGAGATCCAGCCTGACCTTTATTCAAGATACTCTGGAAATGGGAAGTGACTCCTGTTGTGGAATTGGCCGAGGGACACAACTCTCATGTTGATCCAAGTCAGATTTATGTTCACCAGACCTAGTGCTTTTCCACTTATATCAAGTAGGATATTAGTAGGCTTCCTTTTCAGCTCCCGGGACACCATAATCAGCGTACAAATGCAAAAGTCTGTGTATCAAACCATTCTGATCCCTTTGGTTTTGCCATTCATTACAACAAACACACACTCTCTCTCTGCCAATGAAGTGTTTCCACTTGATCTCTGATGTCCCAGCACCCCCATGATCCTCACTGAATTCAGGGAGCCCATTTTGATGCCATAATTTCTGACTTGCAGAGAGGAGTCCTTACAAAGGTCTGCCAATACTCCCCTCACCAATGAATTTCCTAAATCTTTGGTGAAGGGAGGGTCCTCTGACCCCTCCCAGGGCACATAGGCAAGTTGAGTAAGCAGGTCTTACATGATAAATCCACTCCAGCAGTCTGGCATTCCTATCTTTATCTTCTTCTATAGCAGTGGTTCTCAAGTTGGGGACAATTTTGCCTTTACCCCACCCAAGGGACATTTGGTAGTGTCTTGAAACTTTTTATTGTTACAACTGGGTGTTGGGGAAGAGGATGTGCTACTGGCATCTGGTGTGTAGAAGCCAGAGATGCTGCTAAACACCCTACAATGCACAGGATAACCCCCAACAACGAAGAGCTATCCAGTCCAAAATATCAATGGTGCTAACGTTGGGAAACTGTTCTACAACATACTCAGAAAGTTCTGGCATTTTGATTTTAGCATAAGCATAAGCTAATATTAGGTCCAGGTTTCAGTCACTCAACTGGGCAAACTGCTCAAGGCCTTCCTAGGTGCTCAATACACCAAGTCTGGAATCAGTGCTCAGTGTCCCATATCAACTAATCCAGCCTAACCTATTATTTCCTCCCAAATCAATGCTCATTTGTCCACAACTATATACATTTATCAGGTTTCTGGTGATACGAATCATAAAAACCCTTATTTTGGCAGGTATATTATCCCCATGGTCATACTTCCTTCTTGATGGCTCTCTTCCCCAACTTACCCTTCTCCCCGTGGCCCACAAGGACTTCAGTCTGATTAATAGGTTTAGAAAATGAGGTGGTGGAGCCAAGTCTTTTGAGAATCTACAGTCCCAGGGAAGGAAACTATCTCAGGGAAAATCATTACAAGTTCTCAGGGGAGAGTAACTCAGGAGAGGAAGGCTTCCTTCCAATGGCAAAGGACGCTCAGTTAAATTTAGAGGTCAAAGTCACCGGCTTTGCTGGAGTCTGCCCATATACTCTCACCTCATTTCTTCATGTTTCTATTCCTTCCTCTGGGTGACTTTATATGATGATTTACAAGGTTGCAAATCATTGTATTCTGTCATTCAGCTGATGACTGAATTTGACTTTGTGTTCCCTTTTAAAAAAAAAGAATGCTGACATACACACACCCACACACACATACCCAAGTTCTCCAAAGTGTTAACATGTAGCCAAGCTCAATGCTAAGATAGGAAAACTCCCCAGAGGCCAAAAATTGGATACACAGCTAGAGGTTTAACCTTTAATGTGGCTCAGAGTCAGGGTCAGAGCAGCCATGCACACCGAGAGTAAGTAGTGAACTACCCAACATTACAATAAAAGAGCAGCTCTCTTTCACTGGCTGTGGAGAAAGAAACAGAGTCCCTAGTTGCGCCAATCTAATGAACAAGGTCAATCAGAAAAGCAGATGCGAATCAAAAGGGAACAATTCTGGAATCCTGATGAAACCAGATCTAAGTTCTGCTCTACTTGTGGTCTTTACAATTGTGGGAAAGAAATCTTTTTGGTTTAACACAGAGGTCAATAGACTTCCTGAAGGACCCGAAAGTATTTTAGGTTTTGTGGCCATAGTGTTTCTCAGAACTACTACACTTTGTCATTGCAATTAGAAAGCAGCCACAGATGATAACATAAATGAATGGGCATTTCTATGTTCCAATAAAACTTTAAAGGTAGTAGGCCAGATTTGGCCAAGAGGTAGTTTGCCAACACTTGACTTAACCCACTAAACTACATCACCTTGAGAGTGGAAGGGCTACACCAGTATCTACAAAACAAAACATGGGAAGCCCAGTATTTATCATATCTAATGCCATTTGAGGTAGCATGGACTTCATACACTCAGCATGTAGTGTGGTCCAAAAAATCAATTTTAGAACCTGCTTTTCACATCACATACATCCTTTGTTGTGCAATGCCCTTTAACCACGGTGTTAAACATCAGCTAAATGGCTAAGCAGGAAATAGTATACAAACCTGCTCCCTAAAAATCTTTATTTCCCATCATGCTAGGTTCTGTCCCTATGTACATCTTTTACATAGGGACTCTTTGTTAAATTTTACCTCCAAAACATATTTCCACTATCTTCAGGATTTGCTCACTCACTGCTGCTTTGAAACCATTTTTTCATAATTTCTTCTTTTCTCATTGCTTAAGGTTCTCTGTGCCATAGTGTCTGGAAAGACCCAGCCACTTCCCCAGTCAGACCAAACCTTGAAAGGACAAGCAAGTACCCTGGGCCATCCATTCCCCCAGTAGGGGAGTCCGACAAGAAGTAGGAAATATACATTTCTACTGGAATTACACTGGAGTTTTCTGTGCTGCACAGATTCATGCCTAAACTTAAAACGCATTACTTAGAAATTTATACACTCACTAACGTATCTCTATCTTTGAATAACCACAGAATTTTTTTAAATAACTGATTTTCAGTGTTCTATTCCTTAATTTGGCTGTATATACCACATGATAACAGGATTTCTTACTATAAAGGAATAATATATTAGTAATTTTTCAAATTATATAGTTTTATTACCTAAAATAACTATTTTACTGCAAAATGGATGCAATGAAAATAAAAAAATATCGAAGTTAAATGTGGAAAAAAATCCGAAAATCTGTCTTGCTACTGTTTACATTAAGGGTGAATATCCCTTAACACATCATCAAATGCATTAACACTCAGAGACACATATTTGATTAAGGTATGTGATGTACCTAAACTACATTAAACTGTTAAATTCTTCAGTTATAAATATTAGCCACCATTTTAATCCATTACTGCATAAGTATATAAAAACATGCTTAAATCCCTACTGATATTTTTTTCCAAAATTTAGTAACATCATCGATGTACACGTTTTCTATGTGAACTTCCTAGTCATAAATTTGTATTCTGTGATTTCCAATTCAAAGGGATTCATATTCTATATTTTGATATATACTGACCACTCTGAAAACCAAATTTTCAACCACTGCTAGTAAAAAGTATGAAAATCAGGCCCCAAAATGAATGTATTTGATAAGATAATCAAAGCCCAACAAACACTTTTTTCCTTTTCATCAGGCTGGGCAGAGAGCAAGGAGAAATGGGGTAGAGAATTTGACAAAAGTAATATACTCCAAATAGCTCTCATAGCTAAGAAATTTTGATGAACGTATTCCTAAAAACATTAAAGGCAATCACATTGAAGCCTGGATGGAAACGTGGAGAATAAGAAACCAATAATCAATTCAATATTTACTAAGAAATGTTTGTCATTAGGAACTCTGACACAAACTCCTGCCTTGACATCCTTGGAAAAAAGTGTAGTATGTCTAATTACTGCAAGATTAATAATCCATTTAGATCTATACTGTATAGTATCAATAAAAAACATTAGACAAAGTCCAAGATGATAAGACCCAACTTGATGAGAAGCTGGATGTGGGGCAGGAGTTCATCACAATAGGACAATGCCAAACTGATTAAACACATTACAGTGATGAGTGGTCTTCTAACATTTCATCTCTTTCTGAATTAATTTTATTAAGGCCACATTTAGGTTTCCCGTTCTGAATACACTTTTCTGAAATTCTGGAGATCTCAACAATTCTCAAATATACATTTTCCTAACTTATTAACAAGTTATGAACATCTACAAAGTACCTGGCAATATTAAGACCATATAGATTCAGAACAAGTGTCTGCATTTATGGAACTTACATTTTAATGAGCACTGATTTTGGCATTTCTATCATACTTTTGTACAAGGCCTGATAAAATTCATACTTGCTAAAAGCCTCTTCCCTGAGTAATATTTAATAAAGGCCAAGAGACAAACTGAAGCCATTATTATACCACATAGAAGGGTTCTATGCTGTGTAGCCTCCTGACTACTGGGATATGCTGAGCTATGGCTGAAACACTGACTTCAATGATATATATATATATATATATATACTTTTCCTTTTGAACTTACTGATTGGAAGAATTCACATGACACTTAAAAAAAATCATTTTATAGAGATTTTTTCCTGAGTGGACTCTCTAATGTTCTTACCACCTCTATCACTTTTATTGGATTTCTCACCAGCATGGATTCTGTGATGAATTGTAAGGTTTGACCGCCAACTGAAGCTCTTACCACATATCTCACACTTGTAAGGTTTCTCCCCTGTGTGAACTCTCTGATGAGACTGTAGTTGTGAAGACCGACTGAAGACCTTACCACACACATCACATTTGTATGGCTTCTCCCCAGTGTGGACACTCTGATGAAGTTGAAGACTTGAGGCCTGACTGAAGTGCTTCCCACACTCCCCACACTTGTATGGTTTCTCTCCTGTGTGGACCCTCTGATGCATGTCAAGATTCAAGCTCCACTTGAACCCCTTCCCACACTCCTCACATTTATATGGCTTTTCTCCAGTGTGGACTTTTTGATGGGCTTGAAGGTGTGAACTCCGACCGAAGCTCTTCCCACACTCTTCACATTTGAATGGTTTTTCTCCACTGTGGACTCTCTGATGGGCCAGAAGATTTGAGGCTTGTCTGAAGACTTTCCCACACTCCTCACAATTATATGGTTTCTCTCCTGTGTGGATTCTGCAATGAATTTTAAGATCTGCTCTACGACTGAATCCTTTCCCACATTCTTCACATTTGTATGGTTTCTCACCAGTATGGATCAGCTGGTGAACCTGAAGTCGTGAACTCTGGTTGAAACCCTGCCCACATTCCTCACACTTGTAAGGTTTCTCTATGCTGTGGGCCTTCTGATGGATTTGAAGATAGGAACTCTGACTGAAGCCTTTTCCACACACCTCACATTTATAGGGTTTCTCTCCTGTGTGGACTACCAGATGAACTTGATAATGAGAGTTCCTCCTGAAGCTTTTCCCACACTCATCACATCTGTATGGTTTTTCTCCTGTGTGGACTCTCTGGTGTGCTTGGAGATTTGAACTCAGAGTAAAGCCTTTACCACACACATTACATATGTATGATTTCTCTCCAGTGTGGACTCCCTGATGGGCCTGAAGACTTGAAGGCCGACTAAAGCCTTTACCACATTCCTCACATTTGTAGGGTTTTTCTCCTGTGTGAACCCTCTGATGAATGTACAGATTTGAGCTACAAATGAAGCCCTTCCCACACTCCTCACATTTGTATGGCTTCTCTCCTGTATGGACTCTCTGATGGGACTGAAGATGTGAATTCCGACTGAAGCTCTTACCACATGCACCACATTTGAATGGTTTCTCCCCAGTATGGACTCTCTGATGGTCCTGAAGATGAGAGGCCTGACTGAAGGCCCTCCCACATTCCTCACAGTTGTAAGGTTTTTCTCCCGTGTGGACTTTGCAATGAACAGTAAGTGCTGACCTACGACTGAAGCCTTTTCCACATTCCTCACATTTGAATGGTTTCTTTACAGTGTGGACTTTCTGATGAGTTTGCAGATGTGAGCTCTGACTGGATTCCTTACCACACTCATCACACTTACAGTGTTTTTCTCCCATGTGATCTCTCTGATGAGTATGAAGATCTGAGCTATAACTGAAGCCTTTTCCACACTCACTACATGTGTGAGACTTCTCTTTTGAGTGTCCTTGCTGGTGAAGATCAAAAGTGGAGAGATCACTTAAGTTTTTTTTACTTGCATTACACTGGTAAGGTTTTTGTCCTGTGTGAATCATGCTATTCTGATCCAGTGTTGGGATTTTATTGCTGTCTTTCTCATAATCATTGTGGCTATAAGATTTTTTACCTTTGTGTACTCCAGGATCATCGAGGTGATGTGAAATGCAACTGATGGTATCAACATCCTGTTTGCACCAACATAATTTATTTCTCATGGAAATTTGCTGATATCCATTCTGATAATTCTGTGACTCAATCAAGGAAGTTTTCCTGCAAGAATCTTGGGCTCTCAAAGTTGGAAACTCTGGGTTTCTAGTACCATTGGGACCACTGACTTTATGATCGAGTATAAAGTTCTCATTTTCAGAAATTTGAATAGACAGTCCTACCCCAACCTGGCAGGGGGAATCACCTTGTTTGTGGAACTGAGAACAATTTATTCCAGAATGTTGACATTTGGTTAAGTCATTTGAAATCTGTTGCCAGATTTGCCAGCAGGAAAGCTCTTCATGTGATCCTCTGTCTTGAACAGTACTCAATTCACTTTGATTGTTCTTTCCTACATGGACAGACAATTCAAAGATGAGGACAATGGGAAGCTTCAATTTTCAAAGATCCAAGGTTTAAAGCGTAGGACACAGTATGAGACTTTAATTAACTTCAGGATGGTTCAGCTTACCTCTTTCACCACATAGGAAGTTTGCTGGTTTACACACTGACAGAAACTAAGGGGTGGCCCATTAAACAACCGAACACTTAGCATAAATGAGACCCATTTAAAACAAAATCACTACCATCTGATATACTATTTAAATCATTTTTTCAAAGTTACATGTCTTTCCTACCACAATACAGTATCAGTAAGGACAAGCATTTAGGCACATAAAGCATAAGGCACAGCTTTAACAAAGCCTGCAAGTTAGCAGGTGCCCAAGAAATGCATGCATAGATGAATCCCAACTTGAACTGTGGGATTGTCTATAATCCTAAATTCCAATTTAAGTCTGAACCAAGTCAGAGAAGCAAAAGGTCCTTTACATGTAAGCTGTCTGAAATAGGAAAAGGAGTGGAAAGTACAGCTTTCTGAAAAGCTGAAAGGCTACACCAGACGCAGTAGTTACACCAAGGGGGTTAATGCTCAGGAGAAAATCAAAGGTGCTAAGAATCCCTTGGGGTGAAAGAAAAGCATGAAGACCTATGCACTGGAATCTTCTGATGCTTTTGTACTATCTCTCTGATATGTTTGTTTTTTTTCCTAAGTAGGAGTCAAAATTTAAAGACTAGGGAAGAACGCTACCTCTTTGGAAACAGCAGAGAAAAGTTTTGGATATAGATACAGATTCACTGGCCTCTTAACAAGAATGATTTCCAAAGTGAAATTTATTAGTGAACTGGGAAATAAACTCCACAGCTATGATTAGTATTTAGAAGAAACAGACTATCAGAGAATTATCACTAGTAAAGGCGTTATTCATGAAATAAGAAAATAAAAATAAATGTGTGAGGCGATGATCACTGCTTAGAGGCAAAATAAGGCAGGGACAGCGTAGAGAGGACTATTTTCAGCAGAGTGGTCCGAGGATGGCCCTCTTGTGATATTAAGACTGAGTGATGTGAAAGTAGAGAAGGGACCTGAAAGATTATAGGTGAAAAAGTATTCCAGGTGGAGGGAACTAGTAAAGGGCGTGGAGCCAGAAGCATCCTTTCCAAGTCTGAGAAGCAGCAGGAAGGACAGTAAGTGGAAAAGATGGGAGCAAGAGGGAGGCTGAGGAGGTGTATTCAGAGGGGCAGTGGGGGATGCAGCACTAGGCCACAGAGTACTCTAGGAATCAGTTCAAGTAAAATAAGCCATAAGAGAATTTTAAATACAGTATTAACACGATCTGACTTAAAGTTACAAGAGATCACGTTGGTTGCAGACTGGAGGAGGTGGAGGGCAGGAGCAAGCACCCAGTGTAGAGACTGTTGTGATAATGCAGGGAAAAGATCTGGCCATTTGGACCAGTTAATAGCATAGTGGTGGCGATGGACAGTTAAGCCCAGAACTCACAACTGCTTGGTTCTTACCTAAATTTCTGTCATCTGGGTTGTCTTCATTACCCAAAGCCTCTCTTCTCTTTTTATGTGCGATATATCTTATTCAAGGGTTGATGTTCTCAGAACATATAAAGTCACAATGAACATACTAGACAAAAAATTTACTGGAAACATGAGTTTCAACTGCATATGCAAGATACTGAACATTGGACAGAGTGGTTTTCAAACCTTTTTATCATGACCCACTGAAGAAACAGCATTTGTTTCATGATTTAGACATATGCAAAAATACGTATTACTAAAACACAGGTTGAATGACTTATTTCTAACCAATGCCTATTCCCATTTAATCTGCTCCCACTGGCTCTTAAACCACTCATGGAATTGGCCAGAGTCTTTGCTGCAGTATATTCAATTCTTCCCAAGCAGCTCTGATATTTTCTATACAATTTTATTTCACTAAAAATTTCTCTAAAGACTCAATAAATTGGTTTTATAACTCACTAGTGGGGCAAGAGTGAAATTTGAAAATGAACAGACAAAGCATAGCAATATACTGTCCATTTACAGTTCTTTTAGGAAACACAAGTGACAAAGACCTGAAATATACAGTTTAGAAAAACAAGAAATGTCCTCCTGTGTGCCACAGAATTGGGAAAGTGTGGTCCCCAAACTCAGGGAACCATTTCAAGAGCCCCAAAGCCTTAAGACCCCAAGGTCAGAAAGACACTCAGAGGGAAGCTGTCCTCACCCACTGAGACCAGGTTCCTGAAGTTTTCTACCATCACTTCCTGGTACAACTTCCTCTGGGTGGAGTCCAGCAGTCCCAGTTCCTCCTCCGTGAAGGCCACAGCCACATCCTTGAATGTCACCACCTCCTACAAAGAACACACACAACCTCAACCTTATACCCAGTGGTCACTGGAAGAGAGGCAGTCCTAAGAAGGTAGGAAGGATAAGTAGGAAGTTGCTCTGGCTCTGAGCAATCTGTAGGTTTTCCAGCCCTTCTCCCTTTTCGCCTGCCAAGGCCACACACAGATTTTCCTCAGCATCACCAAAAGTGCTGCTATGAGAAAGAAAGTTCTGTATACTGACCTCGTGCTCTGAGTGCTGTTATAAGCCAGCTCCCTAGAATTTGAACTCCTGCTTTCTGAATTGAAAAGGTTTCACTTTTTAATATTGCCAATTGCCCCAGAAACATTCACCAATTTAGTTCCAGCCGTATTTGATCTCCTGTTTTTCAAAGCACTGAGATGGGAAACAAGTGAGAAATAACGTTCTGTGTGGGAAGAAACCCAAGGGCATTCCAGGTGTCTGGAAAACTCTCTTTCCTCATGTCTCTTTCCCTCGAATACAATGCTGACTCCAGATCCTTGGTTTTCTGTGTGAAGTGAAGCAGTTTCCCCATTTTCACAATCTTTTTCTTTACATTTAAAATGAAAATGAAATCAAGCACCTCTTCATAAAATTGTCCCAAGATGCCAATGCAGTGACAAGTCCTTTAGTACCACTGGACTTTTAAAACTAAGGTCATGTATTACTTTAATTGAAAAAGATATAAATCAGTAAACAAAATACACACAGTCTGACTCAGGCATGGGGGAGACAGAATGCAGCTCTTAGAGAAAACTTCTGACAATATTTTCTCAGTGTGAAGCAGCAGTGTGATCCTGACGCACTCTGCCATATATGACTGTTCTACCAAAAAACCTACCCAAGGCACCACACATAAAACTAACTTCTTTAATTTTGAATACCAAGTAATTAAAGATTTTAAAAAGGCAGTAGTTGTCAGAATTTCTTTTTTGAGAAAAATGTTAAATCTGGAAAATTGTCACGGTGGTGTTCCTCAAGCAGTAAAAATCCTGAACTAAATGTCTATGAATAGAAAATAGTTTAAAAAATAGGTATACAGATTTGATGGGAACATGAGATGGTAACAAAAAGAGAATGCTGCATAGTATAGACCGATAAAAACAGTTTAAAGTTGTATCTATGAGATGAATATAAATACACAGCTATGAATACATATGATGAAAAGATGATGGAAATATAAAAGCAGCTAATTTAATTTGTAAGCAGGGAAGTAGCAAAGTGGAAGCTGTTTTCATTTCTATTTTCTACTTTTATTTGTGAAATAAAAAATTAGGAAATGAAACTAGAACCAAAACCAAAACCAATTTAACTTAAAAAGGAATTTAAAAATTCACCTGGCATGTTTAGTAGGTTCCCAAATGCCTTGACTCTCCTTGAAAAACTGGTGTCCAATCTCTGAGTACTAAAATGGTGTTTTAACAGCAAGAAAGGCAAGCCCTACTGACCTTAAACATGCTCATTTTCTTTTTCCTTCTGGGGAAATGCAGAGTCCTAGGAAGACAGACTGGGAAAGGAAAGAGAAATTAATGGCAACTGACACTAACCCATGTGGCTGCTCATTGTGAATTAGCTAAGGCGGCCATTCCTCAGGGCGCTTGATGAGTAGCTCAGCATGGATACCAGACACCCCCATAACCCTCTGGGTAGCGGGTCAAGGAATGACCTGCCAAACCACCAACAGTGGCCCAACACTGTGTGCCTGTAGCTTCCGCAGTAGTAATTCTTATTCTGGGTAGGCTGCATATTAAGACAATGTAAGAGCAGGCTTTGGCATCAATATGCACGGGTTGAAATCCTGGTTAGGCTATTCACTAGCAGTGTCATCTTGGGCAAATTAACATCTCTTTGGCTCAATTCTGTCATCTGCAAGTGGGGAAGCAAAACAGTTCCAACCTCATGGAATTACTGTAAGGTAGAAAGCTCTTAGAATACTGTCATGGTTTCTCATTTCTTTGCAACTGAAGTAAAGCAGACGACATTCTATAGTCTGAAATTATCCTTATAAATGTGATTGCTATCAACAGAGTATTGTATAAAACATGGGTTCACAGGTTGTTACTCTGTCATGTGAGAGTCTCATAACTTCTGAAAAATCTCTGGTTGTCTTCCTAATAATCTGTTACCTCAACAATATCTGACTCGACATGGACAATTTTAGAAGAAATATAAAAATTCGCGAATTTCTCTTTAACCACGAAGCAGCACCCTTTTGATAAGTATGGTGGGAGGTAAAGAAAACTAATAAAACCCAAGATTCTGCAACAAGAACAAAATAGTTTTGATTGTCCACACCTACTCTAAATTAAGAAGACAGGACTGAGTTACAAATATACTGTAATAAATAAGGGAATGCCTAAGAAATAAATGAGTGAGAAGAGTAAGCTTCCCTCATGGTACAATGCAAACTAATAAATGTAGAATGAAAGATAATTAGAAAATCATCAATGAATTCTAAAAACTGGTGGAAGTTTGGTGAGGAATGAGATAGCTACAAAGTCTCAAAATATTAATTGCAAAAGGAAAAACAGTAACCTGGCAGACACCTTACCCAAGAAAACAAAGTTGAGACCGCAACTGGGACAAACCAACAAACGGACATTTGCTTTATATCCTGCACCGAGAAGGATGCCTCTCCACTCCTGAGGCGTCCCTCTTGATGATGCATACAGAGCCTGCACCTAATTATGAACAAACACCAGATAAATCAAACGAGAGGGACATTTCACAAAATAATCAAAGACTCTTCAAAAATTTCAAGCACAAAAAGGAAAAATCGAGTGTGAGTAACCATTCTAGATTAAGGGAAAACTAATGAAACAAAACTAAGTGCAATGCATAGAACTAGAGTGGACCCTGAACTAGAAAAGAAAAATTGCTTGCAAAGACTTCACTGGGAAAATGGGAAAAAAATTTAAATATGGATCATGGATTAGATACCAATGTGTTATCAATGTCATTATTTTATTTTGATCAGTCTCTAGCTTGCTCTCACAAAACAAAAACAATATGTAAGTATGATAAAGCTGTGAAAGAGGGGGAAAAAATCTGATAGTTAATAGCAGCAATAGCTAGAATTTGGCGTTTTTAACTGATCAGCAAGAATCAGGGCCACTAAAGTGATCATGCTGAACAAGAAAGAAACAAGACACTCCCTAATACAGAAAGACACTTGACTATGATAATGACCAAAGAACTGCCCTTCCAGCTGAAATGAGTTGACTGCCTTATTAATAACTCCAGTCTCATTTTGTTACTCTATCTACTAGATAAAAATCAATACAATATTCAGTCAACAAACTGCTGCTGCTTCTTGACAGTATCCAATCCTGAACAGACTCTCACGGCCTAAAACTAAAAGCTCAGTCAACACAAGCCAAAACGCTGTAAGCAGCCCCTGCTAATTCCTCTTACTGAGACACCCTGTGGTGTGTGGGCTTCCTTGCTGCAGCAAGCTAAACAGACTTAACTCTTTGATCACACGTATATTCCTGGGGGTTTCTGATTGCCAGTGTGTTCCTGGTAGTCACTGACAGAGCAAATAGGCAAAACAAACAACTGATCAATCTGGGTAAAGAATATATGAGAATTCCTTATACTATTTTTGCAACTTTTCTTTAAGTTTGCAACGATATAAAGAGTTAAAGAAATCAGGAAATAGTCATAGTACTAACAGCAGTCATAATAGTTCTGGTGATGGTGAATATAGCAAAAATATAAAAAACACGGCAAAAAAATGACTACAGTGAAGAATACAGTGAATATACTAACAGTTACTAGTTGATCTTCCCACTCCAAGCAGAAGTCCTCTAGTACAAAAGATGGCAATGAATCCACTCTCCAAATCTGGGAGAAATATATCTTCACAAATTCAAATTCCCTCCATTTTGACTCTAAATTTGCCAGCTGCCTTCTGCTCAAGTCAGGATTTTGTAAGGAGACCTGACCATTGAAAATAATTAGCGGGAGAAAAAAAAAAATCATTGGACTGAATAGGGATCTGGTGTATCCAACTCAGGTCAGTTTTCTAGGCCAGTTCCCAGACAAGAAGACCCTTTCCTGAGCTTCTTGAATTTTCACATGTACAGGAGTCACTGTAGATCTTGTGGAATGCAGATTCCTGGGACCAATATGCAGAAATTCTAAATCAGAAGGTTTCAAAGTTCATCCCAAAGCTTTTAGGATGGAATTTAGCAACTAAAGCGTAATTATAATTATTACTCATGCCCAAGTACATGTCCTACACATTCTCCAATTCATGTGACTACCTGGGTAGAAGAATGCTCAAGAGGGTCAAGGATGGGCCTTTCTACCCAAGTGGTGCCGATGCTGCTGGTCTGCGGACCACTACTTGAGCAGCACGGCAGTGTACCGTGAGTCCCAAAGAAAACACACTAAATGACAAAAAGGCACTAAAATGGTAACAATTATTGTCTTCACATTCTAAGGTTATAGGTAATTAAATTTTTCTTTATATATTTCTGTATTTTCCATAATGATTGTTACTTCTACAATGTAAGTATCATTTGAAATAAATGACATAGCTCAGGAAACTATTTTAAAAACACATAGAACAGTGTAAACCTTGCCTTCAAAGTCCCCACAGTCAAGTCCCAACCTACTTTAGATGATTCAAACCACTTCCTAGGCTCAAGGACACCAAAGAGATTAATGAACTCGGGTGCTGGACTCAGACTGCCTAGATTCCAACCTCTCTCTGCCTTCTAGCTGGGTGACCATGGGCAAACAGGTTGTGTTCCCGGCCTCAGTTTCATCTTTAAAGAAGAGAAAATAGCACTACCACTTGACGGAGCTACTGTGTGATGGAAATGTGCTCATTTGGGTAAAGCTTTTAGGATGGAATTTAGCAACTAAGGAATAGTTATAATTATTACTCATGCTCAAGTACATGTCCTACACATTCTCCAGCTCATGCGACTACCTGGGTAGAAGAACGCCAAGTCCTACTCACGTGAGACTGTCACCGCCTCCTCCTCCTCCTCCACGCAGTGCTTTGTTGGGAAGTCAGGGCTGGGGAAGGAAAGGAGGGTGGGTGTGAAGTATGTTTTAATCCCTGACAAATCACATCCCCTGGTACCAGCTAGAAGCCACTCTCGCCGTCCAAAAATGTTCAGGAGTCCAGGGCAATTCAACTTTCTGGGCTCACAGAATCTCACGGCGAAATTGGCGCTTCTCTGAGCATTACAATAGTATTAATAACAACAATCCACATGCCAGGCAGTTTTAAACCTTTCACTTATGCTACCTCGTTTTTTCTCAAAACATTATCGTATTAAGTACTGCTTTTATTTTCCTTTTACAGAACAGCAAAGGAAGGCAAGACGAGTTATGGAACTCACCTACTGTGATACCGTATGAAGCGGTTGGGCTAGTTCATGGGTGGCGGAGCAGGGTTATGGGTGCAGAGAGCCCGGGGGACCCTCCAAACCCACGAAGTTCCGCCCGAGCCCGCCCCATCCCGGGGACGTCCCAAACGCAAAGAAGCTCCGCCCAGGGAACGCAGATCGCCACCCTAGGCCCTCAAACCTTCGCTTTTAGCCTCCTCCTTTCTCCCCAAACGAAAGGCCGGCTGTTGTTGGGCCCAGGTGCGTTTCGGGGAAGTCTGAATGGGTCGAGAATAGCGGACCTGAATCACTGTAAACAGAGAACAAATGGTGGCTACGACGTCCTCCTGGGGCAGAAGCGCTAGCGAGTAACCCGGAGCTCCTGGACTACATCTCCCAGAATTCCTCAGCGCCGCCCGCCGAGAAGGAAAGGGCCGGAGAGTTCTTGGCCCTACACTTCCCAGAATTCCGTGGGGGAAGCTGTCCACAGGCTTGCCTTATTGGTCAGAGGGATGTGAGGCTGCACGGAGCTCTGGACTCTGTGAGAAAGCCAGAGCGGGGAACCGGCCACAGTACCTGCCTGTCCTACACTGTTCCAAATGTCCGAGTGAACAGCGGGCAAAGCCGCGCCCCCTGATGCGGAAGTGCCCAATTGCTCTGAGCTCCTGGTGTTCAGAACTTCCTGGAATCGCTGACCTCTCGGGCAAAATGTCTTGCTATTCTACTATGCCGGCCTTGGAAGCAAGAGTGTAGACTCTATTCATTGAAAGGCCGAGAAGCTGAGTAGCACTTTAGACACGTTCTATGGGCTAAGAGGCATAAATCCATTGCCTGCTATGGAGCTTTTCTGGTAATCCCCTAAGACTTCACCATTGGAACAAGAGCCAAAGGGACCAGGGCCTCTTCTGGCAGGGACTGATGCCAAACGTCAGATCACCTCATACTGAAATTGCATGAAGATGAACAAATTGTTAGTATCTTTCCCTTGCAGAAGCAAATGAAAATCCTTTCTACACAACGGTTTCATCATCCTAAGCCTCAAATTATTTCTATAATATAATAATTATTAATTTGACATTAATATTTGACCAAGTGAACTTAAAGAAGAAAACCATTGCTTGACATACAGAAGGACACCATAATGACAAAAGTTTCAAATTACCAGGAACTGATCATTTCAGTTCATATTTTGTAAAGCAAAAATTGACAGAACCACAAAAAGATTCAAATTGGTAAAGGGGGTCAAGGTTAAAAAAAAAGCCAGCACTGTGGGTCATAGCGGTATCTCACAATACACCTGGAGAACGACACTGAGATACCTAGGTGGTATCTGCAAGGGTGTTGAAGTGGATGAGGTGGGGAAGTGCATGGGTAACTACCTAATTGCTACCCCCCTGACTGCTCAGCTCTTCTCACTATGCTACCACACCTGAGGCAACACCAGACGCCCGTCAGCTTATGAAAGGTGGAGGGGAGGCAGTGACATGGGACAAAGTGAGTGAGAGTGTGTCCCTTTGGTGCTTTAAGGAGAAACAGGCTTATCAAGTGTGCTGGGGATGGTGTCCTTGAGTGTGGCTGTAGAAGGGAGACCAAGGAGAGGCCATTTCATCTGCAGATACTGTGCAGGAGACAGAAGACACAAAGCACTGGTGTGAGGAGGCTCTGAAGCACACGAAGTGAAAAGAGGAGGAAGTCTGCAGCTGCGCTACTACTGGGATTCAAGCAGGTGATTCATTTTAACTGCATGTGCTCATTACTAGGTCAGTGTCCAAATGTTCATCACAGGGTACAGCATATATTTATAATCACCACCTACACCACCAGCCTCTTCTGTCATTTTGGGGGGACACAAACAACAGCACAACTGAATAAAGTATTCGAAGAACCTATTGGTGAGGGTCAAATCTTCCATGTTCTACTCATAGCAGGGCTCATCGAGGTAACAAAGGCCCCCAGATGATGATCCTGCCATTCATTTCCACCTTACAGCATCACACACTATGCTTCCTAATGAGGAGTGTCTCCAGAAGTATCTGTGAACAAATGAGTAGGAACCATCTGCCTGATACTCAAAGGGTCATGGCCAATATTTGTTCATACTTAAGGATGCCAAAGTTTACTTCACTATAGTGTTTCTCAACCTCGAAAAGATAATCCAGTATCTTACCTTACCTTCTCCCATGTATTATAAAGTATTATAAACCAAACAGTAAATCAATCTCTCTCCCTCTCTCTCTCTCTCTCTCTCTCTCTCACACACACACACACACACACACACACTCTCTCTCTCTCTCTCTCACACACACACACACACACACACACACACACCACTTTCTTGAAATGAAAAGCCTTTTATCAGCTCTGGCATAACAGCCTTTGGCAACAGCCTAGAAGGAAGTTCGTGGAGAGGCAGTGAGAGGCACTGGCTGGGCTCTGGAGTCAGGCATTCATGGGTTCATGTTCTTGCTCTGCCAGTGTAAGCTGCGTGACCCTGTACAAGTGTCTGAACAACTCTGAGCCTCAGTTTCTTCACCTGTAAAGCAAGAGTATTATCACTTACTTTATAGGTTGTTAGGTTAAGGACAATGTCAAGTGTTAGACATAGTGCTTTGCATGTGGTACACATTTGGTAAATGACAGCTATTACTTTCAAAAGCAAACAATTGATCTTTGCCAGGGGCAAAAAGCACTTGGTAAAAAAAAAAAATCAGACTCATAATTGGAACTGGAGATTTTAACACACACACAGAAGGAAATGTTGGGTCTTAAATGCACATATTAAAATAGAAGGGAAGCTGAAAATAGATTCAGAAAACATCCATATCAAAGAGAAAATAAATAGAAAAACCAAAGAAAGTAGATGGAAGAAAATTAGAGCAGATTAATGAAAAACAAACAAAGTGGAACCCCCCAAAATATGCTCAAAGATCACCCAATGGAAAAAATAGTAAAGTTGACAAAAGCCTACTGAGAATGACCAAGAAAAAGGATATGAAAAACTGCCAAGGTCAGAAATAAAAAAAGAATATCACTAAATCTTATAAGAGGATATTGTTAATAACTTTACAAAAATATATTTGTAAACTTAGATAAAATTTACATATCTTTAGAAAAACAAAACTATAATAAACTAAATAAACTTCATACTTGATGAAATGGTGGAAACTTCACTTCTGACACTACGAATTAGAAGACAATGCTGGTATAACCACTTCTAATCAAATCACACTAGATACTGTATCCAGCAAACTTCTCCAATTCACCTAAAAATTTCAATGTTATCTCCACATTCTTTTGGATTTTCTATATATACACTGTGAAATTTGATATAGGAAAACCTCATTTAAAATGGAGTCAGGAGAGGGGATTAAAGATGGTGGCATGAGAGGTGAGCCACAGAACTCCTCCCAAAACCACATATAATACAAAAATATATTAATACAACTAATCCTAAAAGAGCAACAGCAAAGAAGGCTGTGCCAGACTGCATACCTGGAGAACAGAGCAGACCTCATGAAGCAGTGTAATGTACCAAAGCCTTGATCTGGTGGGACCCAAGCCCTTCCCCCATACCAACCCGCTGGTGGGAGGAAGATAAATGGAGCCAGGAGGGGGTGGAATCCTAGGACTGTTGAACACCCAGCCCTGGAGATCTGCTTTGGGAGCACAAACATACATTGCATGGTGCTCTGGAGATTAGTGGGATTGGAAAACTAAGACCAGAGGAATACTTGGAGATACTGAGATTCCAGCCATTTGTGGAGGACAGGGATCCACATCTGGCTGCTTTGGGACAAAGGAAAAGCAGGCAGTCTAAGAGGCTTCCTAGCAGTGAGAGGACTGCTGAAGGGGCGTGAATTGCACAGAGCTTGGTGCCGGGAGAAGGGATAGGTGGACAAGATTGTCTGGGCACGCTCTGCCCAGCAGGTTGGGAACTTTCAAGAGCTTCAGGCACTCCATATCCCTGGCTGGCTACTCAGCTCCAAGGCCCCCCACTGTGATTTGCAGCCTGCTGGCACCAACTCGCAAACCAACAATCCCTGCCTGGTGTCAGGCCAGCCAGAGGGAGGTCCTGCATATGGCAGCTACAAATGCAAAGCACAGAGACTTACACTTGTGTGCTTGGCCCACTGGTTCTGGCAGTGGAGACAGGCACTGCAGCCAGGAAGCAGGAAACAGCTCTTTCCTAACCCCCAGGCACCAGCACCACTGAACTGTGACCCCCGACATCAGTCCAGGGGATGAGTAGCTCCAGAGACTAGAGCTTCTGGGCACTATAGGGCACCACATACAAATACGAAATGTCAAAGGAACCTAGTACAAACAAAAATCTCACAAACACCAGTAAAAGGCCCAAGTGAAACTGAACTCACCAATCTTCCAGAAAGAGAGTTCAAAATAAATATCCTAAACATTCTCATGGAGGTAAAGAAATATATTCAAGAACTCAGGGATGAATTTAGGACAGAGATTCAATCATAAAGAAATTACATATCTGAAATGAAACACACAATGGAGGGAATTAAAAGCAGACTAGATGTAGTAGAAGAGAAAGTAAATGGAATAGAAATTAGAGTAGAGGAATACAAAGAAGCTGAGGCACAGAGAGAGAAAAGGAACTCTAGGAATGAAAGAATATTGAGAGAACTGTGTGACTAATCCAAATGGAACAATATTTGCCTTATAAGCGTGCCAGAAGAAGAAGAAGAGAGAAAAAGAGATAGAAAGTGTCTCTGAGGAGGTAATTGCTGAAAACTTCCCCAATCTGGGAAGGAGATAGTCTCTCAGGCCATAGAGGTGCACAGATCTCCCAACACAAGGGACACAGGACAACACCAAGACATATAATAATTAAAATGGCAAACATCAAGGATAAAGATAGACTTTTAAAAGAAGCTAGAGAGAGAAAAAAGATCACATACAATGGAAACCCCATCAGGCTGTCATCAGACTTCTCAACAGAAACCTTACAGGCAAGAAGGGAGTAGCATGATATATATAATGCAGTGAAACAGAAGGGCCTCGAACCAAGAATACTCTACCCAGCAAGATTATCATTTAAATTTGAAGGAGAAAGATTTTCAGATAGGCAAAAGCTGAGAGAATTTACCTCCCACAAACCACCTCTACAGTGTATTTTGGAGGGACTGCTATAGATGTAAGTGTTCCTAAGGCTAAATAGCTGTCACCGGGGGAAATAAAACCACAGTAAAGAAAGTAGAGTTTATCACAGCACTATTTACAATAGACAAGTAATGGAAGCAACCTAAGTGTCCATCAGTAGATGAATGGATAAAGAAAATGTGGTACATATACACAATGGAATATTATTCAGCCATAAGAAGAAAACAGATCCTACCATTGCAACAACATGGATGGAGCTAGAGGGTATTATGCTCAGTGAAATAAGCCAGGTAGAAAAAGACAAGTATCAAATGATTTCACTCATCTGTGGAGTATAACAACAAAGAAAAAACTGAAGGAACAAAACAGCAGCAACCCATGAATAGACTAACAATTACCAAAGGGAAAGGGACTAAGGAGGATGGGTGGGAAGGGAGGGGTAAGGGGAAAAAAGGGGCATTATGATTAGCAGACATAATGTAGGGGGATGTATGGAGAGGGCTGTACAACACAGAGAAGACAAGTAGTGATTTCTATAGCATCTTACTATGCTGATGGACAGTGACTGTAATGAGGTATGTGGGGGGGACTTGGTAATGGAGGGAGTCTAATAAACATAATATTGCTCATGTAATTGTAGATTAATGATATTAAAATATAATAAAAAAGAGACAAAAAAAAGAAAGTAGAACAATTAATTACTAAGCAGATGCAAAATCAAATCAACTGCCCCCAAAGTCAATCAAGGGATAGACAAAGAGTACAGAATATGATTTTGCATCTAATATATAAAGAATGGAGCAGGAAGAAAAAGGAGGAAAGAAAAACCCTTTAGGTTGTGTTTGTAATAGAATACTAAGTGAGTTAAATTAGACTGTTAGATAGTAAGGGAATTACCCTTGAACCTTTGGTAACCACAAATCTAAAGACTGCAATGGCAATAAGTACATACCTATTGATAATCACCCTAAATGTAAGTGGTCTGAGTGCACCAATCAAAAGAGATAGAGTCACTGAATGGATAAAAAAACAAGACCTGTCTATATGCTACCTACAAGAGACTCACTTCAAACCCAAAGACACACACAGACTGAAAGTAAAGGGTTGGAAAAAGATATTTCATGCAAACAATAGGGATAAAAAAGCAGGAGTTGCAGTACTTGTATGAGACAAAATAGACTTTAAACCAAAGAAAGTAATAAGAAACAAAGAAGGACATTACATAATGATAAAGGGGTCAGTCCAACAAGAGATATAACCATTAAAAATATCTATGAACCCAAAACAGGGGGAAATAGAATGCAATGCATTCATTTTAGGAGAATTCAACACAACACACTCCAAAGTACAGATCAACCAGACAGAAAATAGTAAGGAGACAGAGGCATGAAACAACATATTAGAACAGATGGACCTAATGGACATCTACAGAACATTCCATCCAAAAGCAACAGAATACACATTCTTCTCAAGTGTTCATGGAACATTTTCAAGAATAGACCACATACTAGGCCACAGAAAGAACTTCAGTAAGTTCAAAAAGACTGAAATTGTACTGATCAGCTTCTCAGACCACAAAGGTATGAAACTAGAAATAAATTACACACAAAAAAGAAAAAGCCCAGAAACACATGGAGTCTTAATAACATGCTCCTAAATAATCAGGGACCAATGACTGAATAAAAACAGAGATGAAGTAATATATGGAGACAAATGACAATAATTCAACCCTGCAAAATCACTGGGATGCAGCGAAGGCCGTGATAAGAGGGAAGTATATTGCAATACAGGCCTACCTCAGGAAAGAAGAACAATCCCATGTGAACAGTCTACTCTCACAATTTCGGAAACTAGAAAAAGAAGAACAAGTGAGGCCCAAAGTCAGTAGAAGGAGGGACATAATAAAGATTAGAGCAGAAATAAATAAAATTGAGAAGAATAAAACAATAGAAAGAATCAATGAAAGCTGGTTCTTTGAGAAAATAAACAAAACAGATAAACCCCTAGCCAGATTTATCAAGAAAAAAAGAGAGTCTACACACATAAATGGAATCAGAAATGAGAAAGGAAAAATCACTATGGACACCACAAAAATACAGAGAATTA